GCTAGGTCCCACTTGCACAAGTTAAGAGATAATACTGACCGTAGATAGCAAAGATCAACGGCCGAAATTATCTCCTAATTTGCGCAAGTGGGACCTTGCCCCAGCGGCTGAGAGATCCTGCAGTTCAGAGCCTCAGTATCCAAGAGACTCTACAGGTAAGGAAGACAGCCCACGGGGACGCTGGGCCTGTTTCCCAGTGTAGGAGTACACTGCCTTTTTTTTAGTCCTCATAATCATTCAACTGTATTGGGAAAGATTCTTCCCTTTTCGCTGGTTGTTGATTTTTTTTATTTTTTATTTTTATTTTTTTTGGTTGTTGATTTTCATTGTCCAGTTGAACACCCTTTTTTACTTCAGTTTGCAGCTCAGCGAGGTTGGACCCGGTTTCCAGCAAACGCACAAGTCTTAGAGGGGTTTCAGTCCCAGTTACCTCCCGGTTGAGATGTGGAGGGATTCCCGGCCTCTTTTTGCAATTATTATTATTATTATTATTGTTTATTTTTTTTTTCAGTCAGGCTCTAGGCTACCAGAGTGGCCCGGGGTCACTTGCCCGGCCGGGCCAAAAACAATAAAAATAAAATAAAAATAAAAAATATATTTTAAAATTTTAATTTTTATTCTAAATTTGGTGGAGAATTTCGATGTGACCCTGAGGCAAAAGTTGTTCAGTTTATTTTTCTGCATAACATAGTTTTGTCTCGGAGTTTTTTTTTTTTTTTTTTTTTTTTTTTGCTGGGACCTTCCCTGGTCCTTGCACGGGCTGTGAATTGTGTGAAGTCAACATTCATCATTGCGAAATGACGATAAAAGCCTGCAACTACGATCAAGGACAGTTAAATCAACACCAGTCCACGCCAAACAGATCAGGAGAGGTAAATAGAGTCAAAGAAAAGGAGGAGAAGAGGAAGAGAGAGAGGAGAGAGAGGGGAAGAGAGAAGGGGAAGAAAAGAGTAGACAGCAAGATACAATGAATTCTCCCGAACGCGACTTAAAAGATATTACAATAAAACAAGGCGGCGAGGACCCAACGTTTCGGCTGTCCGCCAACAGCACTCCTCAGGGGTCTTGGTCGCGGAGGTACTGTGTGAGCAGCACCTCTTCAATTTATCTTGCTACGAAAGACAACTTGAAGACCAAAGTACGACGGGACAGAAAAGCCGGGTACTACAGTTCCAACGAAACCATCGAAACCTTGAAAACCTTTGAACCGGTTCCTCTAGCTGAAAAACTCTGCCGCATTTAACCAAGAACTACAGATATTCGAACACTTAACCACTTCATTCGGGAAAGGTGAAAGTGACCACCGCGACTTACTCAAAACTGGACCACAGGTCAGGTTTTACAGCAAACCCACTTTGGAAAAAAACCGTACCAGGTATCATATGACCATGACAAAAAACAAGTCCCGGGCTCGAGATCTACTACGGCAAACCAGTTCAAAACTATACCAAATACCATAAGACCGCGAACGAAGCACCAGGTCCCGGGCCGGAGATCCATTACAAACAGCAAATCGACATCTGCCCCCAATTGGTAAGAAGTGGGATCCAGTGATCCCAACACCCCGCAAATTTCCTTGAGAAATTGACAAGCGCGCTATCAAAGAAGTTATCCGGGTATCGTCTTCTCCAAAGTTCAACCTTGAGAGTAAACAGAAAAACAAGTTCACCATCAGGTAAAGTAGTGAACGTACAGGCCCGATGCAGGAAAGATGATATCACCGCCAACTTTTGCCGACGATTAGAATAAGACCGGTAGTCTTGAACGCTGTGAAAGACAAGCGGGTGGAGAACAGAACTATCCTGATTCTTGTGAGTGGCCCATGCAGAAGAGACGACAGGGATAGTTAACCAACTTGAGTTTGCACCCAATGAAATTCCACCAATCACCATTGTTCGTCTGTTCCAGAGACGGATTTTCATCGTAGCAATCCCGAAAAGAGTTCAAAATCCGCTTAGCCGTCATCAGAGACTCAACGCAGTCTTCACGATATTGAACGAAGATTGATACATCATCAACAATTCGAAACCCTCTCACCAACTTGCGATCAGCGCCTAGAGTGGAGAGAAACAAAAACTCATTGTAAGCACACAGCAAGCAAGCAAGGGCTGGGCTGGTAGATTTACCCATAGGAATACCAATTCTCTGACGTAGAATGCTGCCAGAAGCAATGAACAAGGTGTTTGTCAACTCAAAATCAACATAGCGCAGTAACACAGCAAAATACAAAAAAAAGTCCAACCGCTCTCAACCGTCCCTTTGGTCATTCTGACCATCTTGCCGTGCAGACTAACGGAAACACCACGAAAACCTTCACCTATCCAGAAGTCCACTGCCCATCTTACCGCGTTCATAATGGAGGAATGCGGCAGATTCGAGAACATCTCTTTAATGTCAAAAGAGGCACCAATCATTCCATCACCCTTCTTCAAAACTTTATTCAACGAAACAATCCCCGGAATCAGATCAGAGGTGCACCGTAGATTGAAATGGGACAAAGCAGGTAACTTCCACAACAGGCAATTAGTAGCCCGAGCAACTCTCCCGCCACTTAGTGAACTCCCTTCCGGGAAGGAGGGACAGATAGGTATCCACCGGGTGACGTCCTTATGCTTAGGCAGGCAGTAAGCACGTCCCAGGCTACACTGACGCTTCCATTTACCAATGCAAGAAAAACCTCCTTCCACATGTAGCTTCTTACACCGGTGACCGTTCCAAAACCTCACTCTCAGGCATGGATATCCTTTCGAACGACGAATTCTCCAAAAACAACTGCTTCATGCCTTGCCCATACACAACAAGGCAGCACACAAGCGTATCGCCCAAATTGTGATCAACTGGAGTGCAGACAAGTCCAGTCAGACGAGAAATCTGAGAAACCACGAGATCAACAGAGAAGTGATCAGAAGATGGGGGTGACCATACGCAAGAGGAAAGGTCGCCAGTTGTCAGTCCATCCAGAACAAGAGGGGAAAAAAGATCAAAGGATAGGAACGACTGACGGATCTGCTTAGCGAGACAATGCACAGGGTTACTGACGGAGGGCTGCAAGATGTTCTTTGAGTTCTTCATGACAGATGGAAAAAGATCGGTTGAGCCAAGACGGAAGGAAACATGCTGGTCAACTCGAGGAAAGGAAGCGTCACAGTCCAAGCAACAACAATCGAAATTACCGCTGCGAGCAATCCAACGGAAGTTATGAATGATATCACCAACAGTACGATTGCGGCACCAAACAACGCGCATTCTACGAACAACCAAAGATTTCCATGCAGGGTCAACGTCAAGACAGTCAACCATACGAGTGCATGCCCGTCGAATTTCACTCTTACAAAAACGCTCATCATAAGTGATATGAATAATAAGCCGACGACGAACTGGAATACCAAATTTAGCTTGAATAATCCGTGAGAGGATCGTCCGCAACCTACATTGAGACCGTTTCTCTTGAAAACAGCGAATACCAGAAAAGGCATGGACTAGACGAGCAAAATCCCACTGCCACAACTCAGATCTTGTCGAAGGGTTGCTAAGAAGAGAAATCAGACGGGGTTTATAAGCAAATGACCGAAGCAATGAGGGACGACAGAACAAAAGGTAATAACTGTTCCTCCACGCAACCACCCACGAGAACACCAAAGCTGATCACGTCCAAAGACACATGATACCACCGAGGAGCCATAGCTCCGTTTGAGAACTTTCCAGTTATCTACCAGACAGGACCCACCGCAGCAGACAAATGTTAACGAGTGCAACTGCCTATCTCTACATTGATTGAGAATTCGCAACAGGCTAGAAGACACCAACCCAATGGACGAATGAAAGGTGATTAACGATTTAGAAGATAGAGCAGAGTAAGAAGAAGAAACGGAAGGTTGAAGAGAAGAAGAGGAAGACGAAGAAGAAAAAAAGGAAGAAGAGGAGGGAAGGAAAGAAGAACTGATAGTGGTAGAAGAAGAAATAATAGTCGCAGACGATAAAGAAGGACAACAAAGCCGTCGAGACCGACCATAAAGCTTACGTCGCTCACGTTTCCCGGGGCGGCTTCTTCTTGACTTCTTCACTTTATCACGAGCGCTCAAATCAGACGAGAAGAGACAAATATAAAATCTCTCTACCGCCAGAAGATCATCGACAGAACACTAAGCAATGGGAATCGCCACATACTGAGAAGCACCATATCTACGTAACCACCGGTAGAGTCGTTCATTTCGCTAGCCATCCCGAACTACAGTCTCACTACAGCTACGATAAACATGCTCGCCCCAACGTACATCGAGGTTGCGACCGGAACTCCCGACATAAACATGCCGACACCAAGGAGACAATAGTACATACACCAGAGGTCCGGACTCATCAAAACGACCATCAGAAAGTAGTGAAGCTAGACAAGGACGTAACTTATTACCCCACGGAATCGCACCACAGAAAACAAGGGCGACGACGATCAGACGAAACAGAGCCTCCAAAGCACGAATTCTCAGATGAGTAGAAGAAAGACGACGGACATTAGAGCAAGCGCGAGCCTGGGACCAAAGATTAGCCACATTCGAGAGAGATTCTAAGAAACGTCAGAATCCCTCCCTTCAGTTGCGGCATCGGTGCTTCCACAACCATCGTCTGAAACTTCATGAACCATGGCATCAACACCTTTGTTTTTTCCGAAAGCCAACTCCACTCATTTAGCAATGATCGCTTCGACGGATTGAGCCAACGTAGTGTACTCCACTCCCTCGTCCGTACAAATCTTCCTCACAGCATCCATCTTCAATTGTTTCAAATCCCTGCGATTCTCCTTAACAAAAGCATCCATGTTGTTTGCATTCTTCGCCACATGATCGGCAACCACTTTCTTTTTGTCTTCATGGCCGTCGTACGTCCGGCATCTTCCATGCGTTCCCTCAAATTGGAACGCGGGGTAGACATCTTCATCTTCTCTAACTGCTCCTCTATTTCCGCGAGACGCTGCTCAGCCTCCCTTCGGCGATTGAGCTCCTGCAATCGTAATTCCTTCAACGCGTTAACTTCCAAGTTGTGTAATTCCACCAGCGATGCATGATCACTGGGAGCTTTACAAGGAGATCACGCAGGCGTGGAGCGAGAGTCAGCCCTCAACTGAGCACTGGGAGATAAAGCAATCCGGCTCCTCTTGTTGCCCGTTCGAAGGGCTTCCTTCTTCCAAACTTCGGCTTCAGCAGTCGCTTCATCCTTCATCAGTTTCAACGAACGAATTTCTCCTTCAATGGACTCCACTCGCTTTTCGAGCTTGGACTTCAACTCTTCCTGAGATTGCATGAGCCGAGCAAAGACTTCGTCCTGAGCGACCTGGTTGCCCGAACAGCTGGTGCCATTCCAGTTAGTCTGAGAGGTAGAACCGTTCTTCAGCATCTGCAAACTTTGCAATTTCTCGATCTGCTTCTTCAATTTGGCAATCTCCTGCTCCTGCGTAGGGGCACTCTTACCACGTACAACTTCAAACATTCGATCCATTTTAGTGTTCATCTCAGCACTGATGAGAGCATGAAAATCATCTCTCTCCTTCTTCGCTTTCAACTTGTTCTCTTCTTCAGCCTTCTCACGCTTCACCCCTTCTTCTTCGGCTTTCTTCTCATTCTCGCATGCAACCATTGCATCGTGACGAGCTTTCAATATCGTCACGGTATCCTCGAGGACAGCAACTCGTTGGTCACCTGGGACCCGGGCGGCCCGGCTGGTAGCCTAGGTCAGGTTTTTTTTTTTTTTTTTTTTTTTCCCAATCGAGCTTGATCCCGCTAATCGTCAAGTAAGAGTCAAGTGTTGTATCCTACTGGGCTAGCTCCTATCACTGTTTTGCCATTATGGAATATACTACAAATTAAAAGAAGAAGAAGAAGAAGAAAAAAAA